CGGAAACTGACATGATGACAGCGGCTCCGTTCTCCTCACCGCTCAGCCATCCTGAAACTTGTGGCTTCTCCCCGCCAGCCGACGCTTGCAACTCCGCCGCACCCCTCAACCCTGGAGATTTTTTTTTATCGCGGTTGCCACAGCCCCTACAAGCGGGGGACAGCAGCGGGGATCCATCGAGTCACAGAGCCCTGCCTGGAGCGGCTCCAGGCAGGGATGAGAGGCTCCAGATGCCGCCAACTTTTCCCATTGATTTGATTTTCAACTGCTGCGTTACTAGCGTTTGTAAAAGACCCCCCAAACCATATATTTTCTGAAAGCGCAGGCCCGGTAGAATAAAAAGCTGGTGATACTAAATTTGTAGGCCCTGCGATAATTGCGCAAATGTTTCTCAAATTAATAATGTAGCTCCGTACGCCGTACGTCCTTGGCAGCGAAAGGGTTAAACCCCAACTCTTTCTTGGTATTTATGTATTTCCAAAGGGGGAGAGGTGCCTTCAGATAGTGTACAGTATATTGAGCAATCTACTTTCTTGTTATCACTTTAAGTGATGTTAAAATCACTGCTCCTTTAAAAATTTTATTTTTTTAAAGTTTTTTTTTCATTGATACATGTCCCTCAGGGCAGTACCCAAACCCAAAATGTGGCTAGATCTATTCTTGAAAAAAAAAAAGTACAGCAAAGAGAGGGGCTAAAAGAAGCCTAATGCTTGCACTGCTGGAGAATACAAAGTATTATTATGCAAGATTTCAGTTACTTAACTTTAAAAAAAGAAACTTTTTTATAGTTTTAGTGCTGACTTAATCAAGAAATAATGTACAAAACCATTACACATGCCATTTAAAGTCATGCTAGCATGCCACCAAACATTAAAAAATTGTTATGTGCCTCAATTTACAGGCACCAAAATGTTCCTGCACATACATTTACTTGTAAGAACAACCTATTTTGCACTCCGGAGGATCCCCCAAGAACTGACAAAAGCTTCAACTCTAGTTCTGTTTGAAGTTTTGGACCACAGAGAGAAAATACATGCACAGGGTTATAGAATAATGGGGCCAACTTATCTTTTTAAGGTAGAACAGAAGTCGGTATTCAGATTAGGCTTTGGTTTGCAACCTGGGAGTACAAAAGATTTCCCTGGCTAGTAAAGTTATGCGCAGTCACCTACAAGGGCCATCTCTTTGGGAAATACATTAATTTTAAATATGTGGTGGCATACCAAGTTCACTTTATTATCTACTTATAATTTGGCATGTATTCAAATTTTATTTGCATAATTTATACTTTACATTTCATATACTCAGTACTTTGTCTTCACTCCACCCTCCATAATTCACATAGCCATTCATATTAATAATGTAAAAATTTTGCTACTGCCTAATTATCAGTTTCTATCCAAGCGTATTAATTTGACAGCTCTGCAGTGCTTACAAAAGCAAAACGGGTATTGTAAAGTGTAAGCCAGCAAAATAAGGAATACATACAGTATATACAGTGTATATATATATATATATATATATATAGATATATATCTATATATATATATATATAGG